CCAGGAGTAAACAAAAGGTGAAGGAAAACCTCATGGCAGCACACAACGTGAGAACACACAATCGCACCACTCAAACAATCCAGGCAAATAAGAAAAGACGCCCGGACCCACCTTTGAGAAAAGGCGAGCTTGCATACTTATCCACAGATAAGCTGAACCTACCCAAAGGGAGGGCAGGTAAACTAAAGCCCTTATACATAGGGCCTTACAAGATTCTGGAAACATTTCCAGAGACCTGAAACTACATCCTCAAGTTGCCACCACAACTTGAACAATGCAGAATCCACCCAAGATTCCATGTATCCCGGCTTGTACCTCACAAGCCGAATGAACAAGAAATCTTCCCAAATAGGGAAGCAAACATATTCTACGACTTCAGGGAAGACCCCGATTGCGAAGCAGTAGTTCGTGAAATCTTAAACCACACATGGGTCCACAATGAACTCTGGTTTAAGGTTAAATGGGAGCTAGGGGACACCACATGGGAACCCCTAGGAAATTGCAACGACCTCGCCCACCTGGACAAGTACCTCACACTACAAAATGTGAGGGAACCAGAAAACCTCCCTATCAAAGAAGACAGGGAACTCTCGGCATCACTACACCCCCAAAAATGGAGGTGGAGGAAGTAAAGCTGAGGGACGATGGCCCACAGCCAAGAGCGTGGGAAAGTTCTGGGCAAGCAACTCACCCAGACAGCCACACCATGTGCCAGAGATCACATGGGCCAGGCGAGTAACTCGCCTAGACCATGTGAACCACAGGCTCACATGTAAAATCACACACAACTGCAGCGAATCTCACGCATGCAAGAACTAAAACCCCTCCCACCACCACAAGAAACATAACAACAAAATGTCGTTCTCTGGGGGAGGTAACCCTTGGTTCGATCTAAACAAGCCACTGGACATTGAGATACGACAACCCAGGGAGCAAGGCTCCCCGGAACAACAACAACACCAGGCACAGATAAGCGCCATGGACTACACGACACATGTGGCACAAATGAGTGCCACGAACCAACAACCATCCGTGTTGCCAACAGGCACCATATACCCCCAGCCTCCTCAGAGGGGCTTCCAACCATATGTGGTGCAAACTGCACCGATGGCACAACAAGCACCATTCCAGGGGCAGCATTTGCTGCTGCAGCCCCAGGTATACTCCCCAGGGAACTTCCCTGGCCAGATCAACCCCTGGATCAGCCAATTCGGCCCAGGTCCAACAACACCCCAGCCAAATGCAGGCTGGGAATCAGCTATTGCATCAGCAGTAGCTGCTCAGACAGGTCAGCTCCACGAGGAGCTGAAAGAGATGAAGTCCCTCATAGGAGGGAGACGAGGGAGCAACAGTGGCTCCTCGTCCAGACCGTCCAAATGGGCACGGTCTGATAACTTGAGGGCATCAGAAGATGCCTGCAACAATTGCACCCATTGGAGGTGCGAATACAACAGAGCACGAAGAGATGCCGAGGGCATCTTTGACTCTCTGAAAGACACAGAGAGAGAGGTCGATCTCCAAAAGAGGAAGATTGAATTACTAAAACGCGAGCTCAGAGAGGCATGCGCACTGGCAGACCGTGCTGCCAAACCCATCATGACAGGGGCCTCCTAGGTCAGGGGGAGGGGATACGGTGCTGGGGCACCGACTATCCCGCCACCCCGTGGGCAGGCAACCCTGTCTGGGTTGCATAAGGGCCCGCCCTCAGAAGGGCAAACCCATGTCAAGGGGAAGAGGGAGAGTGGTAGGCAACTGATGGCAGACCCTAAAACAGGGACCACTGCCAGAGGCGGCGGGCCGCTGAGTACCTCAGCACCGTATGGGCAAGCTACCCTGCAGGGAAGTGTCCACATGTTATATGAGACCGCTGAACTCAACGAGTTTGGCAAAGTCGAAGCTCCAGTCGACATAACAATCAACCCCAACTTCCCCATGAGGAGAATAGCAGGGTCAGAAGTGGCACATGATGCTGCATATGCTTGGTGGACAAGCATGAGTGGGAAAGAATTTGTACACTGGTACGAACAGGCTGAAGCCACCTTCAAAAGCGGCAAGGTACATAGAGTCCTTCACGAAAAAGCAAAGGAAACCGAGAAATACTTCTTGGGACTCCCAAGTATTGCAAGACTCACGGAGGAGTACAATTCCCTGGAGAACAAGGGAAAAATCTCCTGGGAAAGTCTAGGCAAAGCTGCCTATATAAAGTCCCAGTTCAAACCACTCAGGACTCCTGAGGAACGTGCTGCAAGAACTGCGGAACAGGAAGCAAAAGCTTCCTAATACCGGGAAAGAGATGCAAGTCTCCACACTGGACAACCAGGCCAATGACCACCCTTCCCCACAGGAAGAACGGTAGACCTACTGTACTCCATACCTGAGCCAAGTAGCTCAGGAACACGACAACCTGCTCCCACCCAGGGAGCGCCCACTTTGTTGAGCCCACAGCTCGACAATGTAGCCCAGGCTACATCATTGCATCCAATGCAGCAATCAGATGTCCAAATGAACAACCCAGAGGAAAACCCTCCTCCGGGGCAATGACTCCACCCTTGAGGAAAGGGAAAGTGACACAGTAATATGCCATCGAGGTGCCCATGAAAACACCTTCCCCCAACTCAAGGCCCTGCACACAATATTGTATCCAAGGAACCGCAAGTAACAATTGCAGAAATCTCTACTTTGTCATAAAACCCACATCCACCACTGCTCATGTGTAAACACCATTTACACACAAACCCTCATGGAACAAGTGAGGAACACCAAAGACATACAACCTTTGGGTCGAAATTCATTTTTGACAAACTCCATTACTTTCCTCTCTGTGATACCCATGTATCGCTGTTCACTTCAAAGTGATGGCCCACACTCACTTATTCCCTAAACCTTTTTTCTCTCTCCTTCACCAACATGTACAAATCGCCCACTTTAAAGTGGTGACAATAAAACGCTCATTGATAATTTCAAACTCAATGTAAATCAATTCTTAAACTTTATTTTCTTCACCATTAACCTTGTATGCGTCGCAAATGCAACACAAGGGGGGAGAATGTCAGGGCAATAGCCCCGAACCCCAAGCCACATGTAATTAAGATACATATAGTCACGTGGGTAAGTGGGAACCTCTGGGTAACTGCTTACACACTACCGTAAAATACACACCCTTGTATCACTTACAGCTCTGTGTGCTGAGCTACCCTGAGACCTCACAGTCAAGGTGAATGTGACACCTTTTCCAAATCGTGGGACATGCTCAGCTTCTACCCATAGTCATGTTATGAACTGTACAGTACATTTCCCTCTTATAGCAGCCAAGCTGGGAATAGGGAAACTTACCCTTCTTCTCAACTCAATCCCCACTTAGGCAAGTTGCAGTGTAAGGCTGATATAGGTATCAGCCTGGGTAGAGTGGTGAAGTCTGGCAAAGTGGAGTAGAGTCAGAGTAGAGTGACTGGGATTGGACTGGGTGTGCTGGTGTCTAAATGCGGTATGAAGTACCATTGCTCAATGGAGCCTCAGGGAGAACAACCTTGTCATAGGACAAGTGGGATTGTGGCCCATTGTTAGAACTGGGCAAGAGTGGACGATTCCAGAGTGGAACCGGAGACTTAGCAAGGAGGGACCTTGGCCTCAGTGACTCAAGGGGAGTGCTGTGCCATTGCTGTTTGTCCTGTTGGTCCTTAATTTCAGACATAGCGAGGAGGAAGTCTCTAGGGGGCATTTCTAGTCAATTTTAGACTGAGGGTCTAATTGAGTATGTACAAGCACCTACATATAATGGAGAGATGAAAGTACAAGGAAACAAGGGTGGTCTGAAATGGAACAAAGGCGTCTGAACAGAGACAAAGGGAACTACAGAAGCAGAGTGGTACTGAGGGTCAAGGGTTAGACTCTATGGTACATCTAAAAGGAGGTAAGGAGGGCAAAGCCCAGAGGGGCAGGAGGATGAGGTGAAGGACTAACTGGCTGAATGTAAGGAAGCAGTAGTCCAATTGGGGATGAGGGAGAAGTGCGAAATGTATACTACAGGTGGTGAAAGTGCTGAGATCAGTCTGTGAAGCTCAGAGGTGATGGAGCTTACAGAGAAGGAGTTGGAAGTCCAAAGAATAATTGGCAATGGTGTTTACATAGAATGAGGTCACCAATGCAATGGACCGAGGTGGAGTCAAAGTCCGAGGTCGGGACCATGGCAGAATCTTGGAGCGAAGGCACAAGCAGTGTCCAAGTACAGGGTACAGGATGGCAGTGGAAGGTTGTAACTTGGTGGAGGTTGGTGGAAGAGGGATGGAAGGAGAGGAGTGAGGACAGGAATGAGGAGGGAGGTGATGTCAGGTCCAAAGGTGGATATCGGAGTGGACAGGGATAGGGTAGGTCTCCAGAGGTGGTGAAGTGGAGGGTCTGGAATTCAAATTGGGATTGGGTATGTACAGATATGACACCCATCCAACAAAGTGATGCCAAAGCATCAGGCAGGGGTGGGTGGTCAACCAGTGGTGTGATGGCCAAAGGTGATGGGGAAACTAAGGTGGAAGCAGCACAAGGTGCACTATCCCAGGATGGTGTGCTTAGCATTGCTAATCGAATGCCTGGCAGTCAGACTTATGTGGTGAATTGGCTGAACTGCCAACCAATGGGAGTACTGCCCAAAGGCAGTCTCTCCTTCATCTGGAATCTGTCAGGGGACACACATGCTCACACAGGTTGCTCCGATAACCTAGTTGTGATTAAAGCTGGGGGAAAGGGATGTCCCCATCTTAGGGTCAGCTATATACATGTAGAGTCCGGCAATAAGGAAACCAAATGGATTGCCGATAGAATCATGTGATCATAGAATGTTCCAGAACAATGCCGGAGATGATCCAGGCCACTGGGGCTTAGGTAAGTGGAGTAGATGGGAATTGCCGGCATACTTCCCACACGCATACACACAGCCAGCATAGGGTCCAGGGTCATTGTTGATCCCTGACAGAATCAGCATTTCTAACATAAACTGTCATTCTACTCACATGACTACCATCTGTGCTGTTTGTATATACATGTTGGGGGCTCAACTCACACCATACACAAGTCCATTGATGTTGGAGAAGCCTCACACCCTTAGAGTGCCTGTATGCCTAAGGAATGGTCAGGGTGCCATATCCTGACCCTCTCCACTCTGATCTGAATCTGACTCCACTATCCAATGCCTCCTTGGAGTTGGCCTAGTGGTTGAATGAAGTCCTACTTGGTACAACTCTCCTGCCAGAGATACACATGCATCTGGCCTTGCCAACATGCTTTCTGCCATCTCCCTGTTTGAGAAGATATGCTTCAGATTGCTCACCAGGTTATCCCTCTGCTTCAGGTTCATTCCAAACTTCCTCTCCACATTTTCACCCATGAAGAGCTCCACAACTGCCTTTTGAATTTCCTCCATCTTGATGTATTGGGAAGTAGATTCTTTGCTTGCAGGCACTAAAGTCCACCCAAGATTAGTGTAGTAGTAATAGCACATACTTCACTGTGCTTACAATTCTGTCTTGCAGATGTGCCAGGCATTCCTCCCCTCATTTGTCCACCACCAATATCCAGCTCAGGTGCCTTGTTTCTCATTGCAACTTTTTTATGGACTGCCTTTTCATGAAGGGCTGGTGAAGAGGATCCATGAGGATAAGATGGTGCATTAACTTTTGAATGTGATGTACCACCAATGCGAGGTGGCTTTGAGCTCCTACTAGGACCTGCAGATGGATCAACTTCTGGTGAGCCAGCAGTGAGAGGCTGGGCTCCAGGGGGCCCAACAATTGATGGCCTTGAAGTGCCAGAATGGCTGACACTTGATAACCCTGAGCCAGAGGGGCCTGGCTTTGGAGGGATTGTAGGTGGTGATGGGTAAGGCTCATTAGGACCCCATCCAGGGGGAGATGGAGGAGATGGAGGGGCAGGAGGAAGACTCCCCTTTAGGGGAGGAGGAAGGCGTTTTATTACCTCATCCCGCATCAGCCCTGAGGGTGATTCAGCAGGGAATAGACAATTACTTTGGGGAAATAGGTAAGCACCCTCTGCATTAAAAGGACAGAATGATGCAAGGATGTGGTACCAGGGTTCACTGAGCTTTGCCATGCGTTCCAAACTTTGACGGTCCAAGCGATCCCGACCCCCTATGGTATCCCCATCGTGTTGAGTAATTTTCTGGTAATTCTCATGGTCTGCTATGAAATGCTTTACAATCTTAATGAGACAATAGGTTAGATCTGCCTAAACCTCCTGCAGTCCACTTACCCAATGCCCACTGATCTTCCTTTGTGCAGGTAAAGTTGGGTCATTGGAGTCCCAAGTTTCATTCCCAACAAGATGAGGTATGAGTGTGTCATAAAATGCCTCAGGCCCAGGGGTGAAGTATGCCCTATAGAACACTTCATTATACACCCCTCCCCTAGGACTGATTGACCTCATTGCATTTTTTCCCCAAATAAAGCCAACAAACTAGTGCTGACATGTGAGCCAACCCCAGCAGAATGCAACCATGACACATACACATTCAAAGCAGAAACGGATTTCCTCTAATTTCAAATGGAGTGGACTCCCTCTTGTCATGATGTGATCAGGATGATAAAACTAAAAAACCAAAATAAGTAAAACTGAGTTGGGATTTCATGACTGCTCACCATGTCAGGCTGAAAGATCCATGGGCCAGCACCCTTTGGCTGCAACAGATTTCCTGGAAAATTTTTAGGGGCGTTCTGAGCCCTCTTAAACTCTTTCCACTCCCAACTTGTCACCTTCAGCCCAGCAGTATTCTTATTTGATAGAGAATTTTGTAATGCATCTTTAATGGCCTTGAATGAGACCCCAGCACAACCACGTGTGGTTGGAAGGTTCTCTTTATTGATGAATTGCCAGTCAGCAACCTCATGAGGAGGGAGAGGTTGGTCCACATTTTTCTGACAAATAATTGCCAGCTGCCACATGGATATCTCAATAGCAGATGCAAAAAACTAAGGGGTTAAATGAGACAATAATGCACAGGAAAGTATATCCACTCACATTCTGCATTCCTTTTGCACATTCCTCCAGAGTCTTTCTCTCATCCTGCACAAATGCAGGTATGTGTCTCAATACATACAAAGCCTTCACCATTTCAGAGGAACGAAAGATCCCCTTCAAGTCACTGATTGCTTTGTTGTTCCCAGAAATGGTCTGCCACCACACCTGGTAATCCAAGGGGGCTGGCTTGGGATTTGATTCTGAGACAAAGGAAAGGAAGGCAGAAATAAGATCTCCCCACAAGTTGGGGGCTTTGTTGTGCTGCACATTATCAGCCAAGACCCAGGTTAGAAACATGCCATTGGATTCAGTTTGAAGGGCTTGCAGAACAAGATTAGTAATAGAGAGGGGATTTGTTAAAGGGCATACATTGTGAGTATACATTCATCCACCAGTATGCATCTCGATGTGCATACAGTTCGTCAATGGGGAACTTGTGTGATGCAGAAAGCTTTGCATTGTGTTGCCCCTTGTATTGAGAAACAAGCGTTTGGCGAATCATTTCCTCCATAACTAGCTTGCGATGTTGTCCATGGCAGACTTGGACCTTGAACTGAGTTGGGAGGAAGCCCTCTGCATCAGGTGCTACTCTCTCGGCATAGAGCAGCAGCCCAGACATGGGATGGTTCACCCTGTCAATTGCATCACCCCATGCTTGCACGTGGTCATTGACAAAGTTCTGCTGGATCATCCGATTTCCAGGGAGGGGGACCATTTGAGAGAGATGGACCTAGTCAGAAAAATGTAATTAATACCTAATAATCCCAAATTCAAAATACCATACTTTAAATATTCCTAGATGGGATGTCTCCAGTAAGCTGCGGAATGCTTTCATTTTTTCAGCACCCTTATCCAGCAGTGCAACGGCAGAAAAGTCCTGCTGCTGGAGTGATTGGTTTATCTGTGAGGCCATGCCTAAACGCGGAAGGTAATCTGGAGCAACAACGAATTAACAATTTGGTCAGAGATAAGAAAGGCAAAAATGTTGTAGGTTCACTGCCTCCCGCTACCAGCACTGCATCAGAACATGTGCAGTATGTCCGGAGACTTGCCAATCATGAATCCACTCAGATCTGAGTGTGATAAGTGGCACATGCAGCAAATTAGCGCCGTGTGAAAAGGTTGATCAAGGAGGTATCATAGAGGAGGCTGATATAAAGCCATTAGCATGCACAAGATACCTACCAGGACTGAAGTTGATCGGTTCAGTATCGCGGAAGTTATAAGCAAGGAGATGTGTCGCAGTAGAGCAGAGCGAAGGTGTGGGATATGTGGCAGTGTGTAAGGGACCTCAAGGTCGGCTGTCGCCGATGGCTAAGTCCTAAAGGATTTATCGAACTCACTAGGTCACTGAGAGTGTCACAGGTCCAAAAGGGCTTGATTTATGAGAGCAAATACAAGAGGTTCTGTCTAACTAACAAAACTTGGACGGGTATCAGACCACTCCACTTACACCCGCACTGCTACTCGCATCTAAGAACTGGTGTTAGTCAAGTGATCGGATATATAGACCTAAGATTGCATAGAGAATTTCGATTTCGAAGGCTTCAATGATTAACTTGCGGGTTTGACGATCCTTCGGATCCCACCTCGGCGGTTTCGTTCTGCAAATTGACCATCGACAACTCGCCTAAGCTACGCGCTAGACATAGATGGTGAAGAAGGTGCAGCGGCAAAAGGTTGGTTTGATAAATGGTTATCCAACTCATCATGCATCGTGGATCCGAAAGGGTGGGACCGCCGGGTTGGGTAACTCCATATTGAACCTTGGTCTATAGTTCATATAACGCTCGTCCGCGACGCTCGTAAGGGCCGTAAGGGCGTGTTGGACCACGGCGAGGTCTACCTCGGACCCCAGCGGCCGCCCGAAGGAGAGCCTGGTGGTCGTGTGTACCGGGTGGAACAACCTAGTGCGAGTATGGGGTGTATATCGGTGAGAAGTCCCGAGTAAGAAAACTCAGTGGCATGCTGAGGATATCGTCGCAAGTGATAGTCCTTTTATACTTTCAGTGATGTCTGATATCGGTAAATCATCCTGTTTCAAATTTGAAATGCTCACTCCTAATATGTTCGAGTAATCATCCAGCGCTGCTCTTCCGCGTAGCGTCATGTATGGTTCCCAGCTGGTCGAGCCGTTAGACCATTGCACGAAAAACTTCGCATTGTTTCCTTGTCCGTCATGTCGTATGACTCGCCTGACAAATGAATCATCAGACGCTCCCAGCCCCACGTGGTTATCAATTTTTCTGCTGGGGAATAAGATATCATCGTTAGGGATATGAGGTCACAACAATTTTGAATGAAATACTGGGTGTATTCCCCGTTTCAACTCGTCTGATAGTTCTAATTCGAAGCTCGCGCCCGGCGACGCTTCTCGAATAATCTTCAGTGGGCCGATGAACTAATTTCCGTGATATCCCTTTACCTAAGTTAAGGACAAATACACGAGGTCGCCCACTTTAAATGTCACTTCTTTTCGGTGCTTGTTGGTAATCCATGTCTGATTTAGCGTCGTGTGCGTCAAGCATGATTGATGCTATTTTTCTTGCTGCCGTCCGGATACTAGGATATGGTGATTCGTGTGATATGAGCAAAGGGTTTGGTTGTCGTATCCCATTCAATTCAAATGGTGAATAGCCTGTGCTATCGGAAGTCGACATGTTGATCGCTAGTTCGAATTTAGAAGCCCAGTCTTTCTGGCTTTGAGACACTGCCTGTCTCAGCATTTGGCCTATCGTCCGGTGGTGGCGCCATCCGTTTCGGGATGGTAAGCGTTAGACAGTCGAAGTCATACGCCTATTAGTTTATGCAGTTCTGTCCAGAACGCTGAGGTAAATAGGTTGTCGCGATTACTCACTATCCGTTTTGGGTCGTGCAACTTATGCACTGGATCAAAGAAGACCCCTGCCATGTCGGGTGCCATATAGGCTTGAACCGTGGGTACGAGGTGTATCATTCCGCTCAAGTCGATCCCGATGGATTCCCATGGTTGAGAAGGGATTGGCAATGTTTTCAGGAGGCCAAATGGAGCGATTGTACGTGATTTTGTTCTGACGCAGACTGGGCATGAAGCGCAAAATCTTCGAGTGTTCTGCAGCAAATTCTTCCACCAGACGTGTAAAGAACGAGAACCAAACGTCACATTTGGAACACACCGTAAATTGGCCATTCCTCATCAAAACTTCGTTGTCAGCATTCCTCATGACTGAGTCGGCACTAGCAAGTAGGGCGGCGTGGACGAGGACGGGCGGTTGGTTGGTCGATTGGTTTGTTAGCGAACAGACACGGTCTCCACCCCTCTCCCCACCCAACCTATATATATATATAGACGCCGAGCGACGGCACGACAGGATGGACGAGGCGATAGATCTGGGAGGAAAGTGCGTCAGTCTCCGGCCACCTTTTTTTCGCTCACCTCTTTCCTTCCTTCCTTCCAGCCAGCCAGCCCTAGCGCGGGACGAATATATGTGGATACGCGCCAGGAGAGACGTGGACGCGTCGAGAGCGACGGGACGATTAGGGTAGGACGAAGCGGGTCAGTCATCCCATGTGTTCTTCCACTCATCACCCTTTTCCTTTCCTCTTTAAGCGCCGAGCAATGGCGCGACGGGATGGACGAGGCATTAGGGGCGATGGATTTGGGGAGGGGAGGGAAACCACGGTCTGTCGACTCATCCAGCCACGTTCTTTCTCACCTCTTGGCATGGGCATTGGAACGGTCATGGGCCGTTCGGCCTGCTCGCCTCATTCCTCCTTGTGATCCCAGCACGCGATGGTGACGGCGACGGCGACGGTGGCTGGGGTTGGGTGGGATTGGGATCGCGACGCGACGGCGCGCGCTTCCATTGTCTCGTTAGCCGAGCGTGTGTGTGTGCATTTTCACTCACTCACCCGTTTTGCACCCGTTTTCGTTCGGGGAGTCCGTCCTTTCCTTTCCTCCTCCCTCTCTTTTTCCTCTTCTCTCTTTTCTGATTTTTTTCTTTCCTTTCCACCCTTCCGAGCGGACGGCGACGACGGAGATGATGATGATGATAGATCTATCTTAATACCCCGCGGCCCCGTGATGTCGTGGCAGTGCGGCTGTCCCGTCGATACACCGTAGCATACATGAAGGGGACTTTCTATACATGATGTGTGGGTAGTCTGGTTGGTATCGTCTGGTGTCAGTGATCCTCGGGTTATGTGGTGTCGGTGGGTATTGTCGAGGTGTTGATAAAAGAAATAGAAAATAAGGAAATAATTTATTGTGTTCGTCTCGCCCGTCTCTTCCTCTCCTCCGCCGTTGCTTCGTTCTGTGCTTTCGTGGTCTCTCGTCTACCCGGCTGTCCGGGTTCCTGGGGTCGTGTTCCTCTCTGCGTGGCGGCCGTTGGTCTGGTGTTTGTCACCTGTTCTGGACTTTTTGATGAAGGACGCAAGTCTTTCAATGCCTTTCACTTTTCCTACGAGGGTGTGGAACCTGGTCTGGTTGCCGCGTCCAAGTAGGTGTCTGTGTCTGTACACTCGGGGGCATTCCGCTAAAATGTGGGTCCTCGTCTGTGTGGGTTTGCCGCATTGGCACCCTTTGCTCTCCGTTGTTATGCCGAATCGGTGGTAGTATTCGCCGATGTGGGCGATGACGGAGAGAGAGGACAACGGCGACGACGGAACGTGCTTCATGTCATGTGAGGAGCGGTTTTGATAAGATAGACGACATTCAATCCCACCTACTCTACTGGCGCGACCAACAACCTGTCACGCGTCAGAAGGTCTTGGATTGAATTGAAAATCAACAAAATTGGATTGACTAGAACTATGTAGCTGAACTGCCTTCGGCTGCCAGTCAATTTCATAAACATAGATAGCTGCGATCTCAAGTATCGGTGATCGATGGAAAAACAGAACGAATATCGATCTCACATAACAATCAGATTGTTAAGGACATAACTACAGTGTGGCCCGACAATCTCAGCTGTCGTTGAACGGTACAAAACATAGAAGAAATTTCCCCCCCTCTTCCTCCCCACAGAGGACATTAGATGTATACGTGGCATTCCATTCAAATGATACAAACCTCGCGTTGGGATCATGGTTCTGAATTGTCTATACAGTGAGTGGTGTTGAACATCGCTGCGATTTCCTTGCATCCTGGTGTGCGTGAATTTATACATGTGTTTCGTGTATCTAACATATAAATAATCATGGTCGGTCCTGGAAGACATCTGATTGGTGTTCAGCGGAAGTTGATGTTAATTGCAGACCACCATTCTGGCGCACCGGAAACTGCGTGGCTATCCAAATGCTCAGGAAATATCAGCATCGTCTTCGGGGGAAACTGTGTTTGACTCAGGGTGGATGTCAGTGTCATCGCAGGGGGAGTATTAGAGTTCTTGGAATATAGGCATACGCTGTAGCCAACTCACGCTATAGTAAATCATGCACTGTTGTCCCAAGTCTGTGGCAAGGGTGGCACGCGTCTGCTTTCCCTTTCCACTCACTATCTTCACTATTTTGAATTTGTTCCGTCGAGGTGGATTCTACCAACAGATCATGACTTGGACCGGCCAGGTGGGATGTGAATCGTTATTCCAGGTTGGGGTTGGGGGCACGGGAAGCATTGCCAGCATTAGTAGGTGAGGTGGCGACGACAGCAGCTAAGGACGGAGGTAATGGAGGGAGCGGTGGAGTGCGTTTGGTGCCCCATGGCAACTCCATCCCAAAGTTTCGCTTTCTAACAATCAAGCTTCACACCACACATAGGGGTCGGACCACGAACGAAATTGTTCAGGCACAGGTACTGCTGAATCATCATGCTGTGTACGGCAATGTCTAGATCGAATAGCTTCAGGATGGAAGGACCCGAGTTAGAGTGGGAATGCATCCTCGGTTCAAGCATGGATGAAATATGGACCTCGTTCGGTCATGAACCCGACAATCGTCAACATAAAAGAGAGATGAATGTCTCAACAAACGCGAAATCCGATCAGTCTGGAGACACATGAGAATGAGAGACGCTCCGAAGTCGTCATCTGCGAATGAAACAGCCAATGAGTTGTGTTTAGAACCTGGGTTTTTCCCAAAATCGAGACCAGATTGGAAAACGATGGTGAGCGTGAATCAGTCATTGGGGAGATCCGAGGACACACGATTGTGGGATTCTGTAACACACGATCGTACAGGGATGGTAGTGCACAGGAATGAGAATGTTTGGCTTGTTCGATAGGATGTGCGTCTCCTGACATTCACCCTCAGTTTAA